ATAGTGGACCAGACAGTGTTCTCTCTGTATTCCCTAAAAACATAAAACCTGCCTACAGATAACAATGGTCCCAGTGGCCCAAATTTAGTGTACTCGGCTTGTCTCTAATCTATTGGACACCAAAGGGAGTGTACTTCCAAGCTACCCATGCCTCCAGAGTGCAGTCCCATCGTCCCTCCCAGGAAGATATCAAGACTGCTCCCTTTTTTTGTGCTTTGACACCAATCTTTGGGATATTCCCTTTCTATCAGTACCCTTCCCTTGCCAACTTCAGCCTTGCTAAAATGATACATCATGGCTCCATTCTGAATTTGTTTTATACGTGATCCGTTTTAAAATAGCTCCAAGAACCCTGTATGCATCCTGAAAGGGATAGAAAGAAATGTTCAGTTCATGAAAGCTAGATGCCAACATCATCTCAGCTCTGGATTTGACACAGTGGATTTTTTTGTTCTCTTTATGGACAAAGCAGAAAGCCAAGCCAAGTTTCTCATTTCTGGAGCTCATGGTCAAAAAAATACTCCCAAAATTGACAGTATGGCAAATTCTTAGTTTCCCCCATGAGACACTTATTCTCACCTCCTTCCCCCTTGGCCTGCAGAAGCCGATGGCAATAGGACAGGTGACCAGGAGGTGCAGCATACTAAAAGTTACTTTCACAGAATAGCTGAGTAAGGTCAATGCACTTTGTAACTGCTGAGCCTTGCATGCAGTTGCCACTTCAAAAGGGAAAATCAAGTGCACACACCAGAAGCTGAGAACTGGAAAATAAACCCAGGTCTAACTCCCCTTCTTGCACTGTAAAGACCCATTTCATTCAGAATAATGTGGGCTCGATTCTTCACTGACCTGCACTAGTTCTACCCCACAATTTCCCCTGGAATTACTTCTGCTTCATAGCACCGCAAGAGAAGACCCATGCAATCATTCCCCTACCCATCAATGAACCAGAGGCTGAGCCTGAGCTCGGGAAACACTCCAAGCTCACACCTACAGTAACTCCACAGAAGAAAATGGAAGTAATTGGGGTGGGGGGCGGTATATAAAGATCTGAGATCAAATACAGGCTCACTATTCATTCTGGGACAAACTAAGTCATAGTGACAGTTCACACTACTGCACTCACTTCCTGCTTGTCAAACCGGCTGGTCATCATTGACAGAAGCCACTCAGAGAAAAATCAGAAAGATAAATGTCAGCCTCAGCACAGAGGGTCAATGTTCACCCAATTTAATCTCCACCCCACAGCAATAGCAAGGTCCATTCCCACTGCGTCTTGCCAGGACCTTGCATGGACAGAGGTGATTTAAAAAGTTTCCACTGAATTACAAAGGTTGCATCAGCCAAACAGGGGTCCCAATGGCAAGGAGGAAGAACAAGGTACCCTCTCCCTCGCTAGATCTCAGGTTTGCCTACTGCTTCTGGAAACAAGTCTGAACTCCTGCCCTGCCTGTTTCTTTTAGCTTGAGTTACCCCAACCCTTGGGGAATAAGGGAACCTCATCTATCACCTTGTGGCTCAGTGTCACATTGAGGAAATCTGCTCTGCAAAGGCCTCCATAAGCAAGAGGCTGAGCAATTAAGAGCGGGACCCTCGCTGCAAGGCTACTTTGTACCTGCCGTTGGAGCCCATAGCTCCCCGCGCTGCTTCCTCTCTGGCAGTAGGAGCGGCATTCACCCCAGGAAGTTGATTGTGTGTGCTTCCAGGGTAGGGGCAGCAGGCCCTGCTCCACTTCCTTCCTGACAGCAAAGCTCTCATTGGTGGCTGGAAGTGACATGCAAGCCGATCTGGGCACATCCCAGCCTGTTCGCTGCATGCAAACCCTCCCTGTGCAGCCTGCTTTTGCATCATGTCAGGGATACAGCACTTCTCAGCACACAGGGTCCTCCATGGGTACAGCGCACAGGCAGCCTTCAACCTACGTTGCAGTTAGCCGAGGAATAAAACACAGCAGCCGGTTACTGCAGAGAGCCTTAACAAACAGGTTTACAATCTGTTATCAGGTGCTGTAGCTTTACTGACTTGTTTCTTTGAAAGCCTGGCCAAGAGCCTTGGATTACGTGAGAACCCTTTCCCTAAACTTCCCCTTGCTTGTGGAAAAATGCCAGGAAACAGGAATCATAAGACTCGCACAGCAAAGGCAAAAAGCAGCCAGAACTTCTCTTTTTAAAAAGCAGGTCATTTCAGGGAACCTGCCGAATAATTTGGCAAGGCTTGTAAGGTGACACAGTAGAAGAAAAGGGAAGCCATCAGACCAGCGAGAGCCGTTATTTAGCCTTACAACAACATCAGTCTCAGAACATGCTTATGCAACAAGGACAACCAAGTAGTCTCGTAGCAACTCTCTCTCTGTGAAACGTAACTGTCAAATGGGTCAGTAGACATTAAACCTATAGCCCCAAACCAAAAAAACCAAACAAACAGTTTCTTAACCCAACTTAAGTTCCCATTCATGGGAAGCTGCTTATGCTATTTTTTTTCCTCCATGCCACCAGCATTTATTACCTTGTTTCATGGAGTGTCTTATGCCTCTAAAACAGTGTATCAGTCTTCCTGGATTTAAAGCGCTCCTTAATGTTAGTCTTCACTCCGTTTTGAATAAGGAATAACACAGCAAATCTTGTGCTGCAAAGAACCCAAGACTACAACAGGTCAGAATGTTTTTATTGCTAGGTCCCCGTTTCAAATCACTGGGTGTAGCTTGTGTGCAGAACAGGGTTAACCATGTGCATTACCCCATGCTTGAAAAGATAATCAAGGACCAGGGTTGACAATCACTGCCCTAAAAGCATCCCTCAAACCCACAGAACCTAGATTCACTGTTGCTTCAATAGCCTTAGACTGACAACTCCTAGTTTCATCAGTTCACAGCACAATTAGGGTTACATAGTACAGACTGGAGTGAAAAAGCCCTTGTACCTTTAAGCTACATCTGTACTGAATTAACATGTTACCATGCAAGAGAAGTAATGCATTTGTTCAGAGGGCCAGCACTGCTATTGCACCCTGCTTCAGTATTCCCCCTCCCCACCCCACCCCCAGATTAAGAACTGACAGACACTGGCTGCCACAGAAGCCTAAAGCTAGTTTTAATCCAAGGAGCAAAAGCAGAATGTCTCAAACCTTGGCCTAACACTGCCACCTTGTGATATTCTCCTGCCAAGTGAGCCTGGGCAAGTAGTTAACACTTGCCAGTAGTACTGTTTTGGTCCATTTTAACTATCTTACTGAAATATTTTAGTAGACCTCATTTTTTTTGTTTAAAAACCAGAAACCCAACACTCCAAGTATGTATTTCTGGTACCTGAAGGTACTGGTGCTGATGCAGAAAACAAAATCCCTAACAGGGGTGGGGAAGAGCCACACAAACACATAGTAATGGAGGCTGATAGTAATATCTAAATTAGTCCTTTAATAAACAATTACTGTCATTCAAAAAAAAGTGAAAAAAAAGGTAGGGAAGAATGAAGAGCTTATTACTGACAGCTACATTTATAAGGCTTCTTGAAGTTCATCAAAGCAGTGGAAGTCAACTGACAAATTGCTTCCAAGATGCAACAGCTCTTCAACAAGACCTGATAGTGCTTAACATGAGCCATGCCACTCTGCTTTGATGGTATTAGTTTCTCTACTTAACCGATTACATCTCCAGTACTCAGTCACGTTCCATAGAGGTAGACGTTATACATACTGATCAGTCCATTAGTGATGAATGTTCCTTTAACTCCACAGTATCAAGCACTACTAGGTTTTTGGTTTTTTTTTTTAACCCCACACACTAAAAAATAAAGCTTTGAATTAGTAAGGGGGGGGTGGGGGGGTTCCACTGATGCCTACAGTGAACCTTAGGTAAACATTACAGTAATTTACAGTGTCTAAGAGGTCAAAGATGTCATCTAGTAATCCTGGAAATTGTCTTGTTGTGAAGAGAGACAAGGCTACTCATTTAGACCCTTGCATACACATAGTGTATGCCTAGTTAGGTGACATCAACTGATGGAGCCAGTAATGGTACGGGTATGAACTTGCATCAGATAACATGTTAGATCTACAGATAGTTACACTAACTTCCAAACCACTGTCTTATCTAGTTTATAAGAAAAATGAGGTCTGACAGATATGTACACATTGTCCTTGCAGTTAGGCCTCCCTTCTGTAGAAATCATTCTTACTTGTAGCCCTGACCAACTGAAACGCAATTTGATTAAAGGAATATCACATTGAGACCATCCTTTATTTGCCACCTACAGCCACCAACTTCTGGAGTGTTGTAATGAGTATTCCTTCACTTTTTCAAATATTATCCATCTTGTCAAATTCAGTAGTGCCTACATGCTTGCACTTCAGTTAACAGGTATTATGATTATAATAGCAGCACTTGTTAACGATTCAGGGGCATGTGAGATACCAGGAACTCTTTATTTCCATTACAGATCCAGCTGCTAATCCCTTTAAGAATCTACTGCTTGATACATATCACTTATTTTTTGACAATATTTTGAGACTGTGAAGTTGGTCCATAATTAAACAGGATAAAATAACTGAATAATGCGCTTTATTGACAGTTTCATATTTCAATTATATTAAAGACATCATGCTTAAAAATAGAAAGTGTGGGGTGGGGTGGGGGGGGGGAAGAAGAGGAGGAGGTATTGAAAAAAGGCTGCAGGAGTTCTCTAGACTACTCAAGGCAACAGTAACCCCTGAACTGCAGTTCCACAGGTAGGGCCATAGGGAGATTACTGCAGTTTTAATATTGCACCCTTTTTGCTGCTAGCAGTGTCAAAAAGGGAATAAAAAGCTTTGGACCTAAAAACAGCATCTAAAATAAATTTTGTAAATACAGGAAGTCTAGAATAGTGAAGTATCTACCATGAGAAGTTTTTGTTTAACAAAAATAGTAGATTGGAAAAAATATTTACAGAGAATTATCTACAAACATGCCTAACAGTGCTTATCTGATGCTCCATGCACTGAAACTGCTAACAAACTGAATGGACTCCCCCCCCTTTCAGAAAGTCAGTTCTCTTCCTCAAAGAGCTTTCAGTAGAACTTCCTCAGTCTGAGATCACTTAAGAGCCTTCTTGTTGATCCTCAATCTTTGGAGCCAGGTAGTATTTTAAGTGTCCCATATCAGCAATCTTGTACTCCACAACTGGAGGAAAGGGAATAAAGACACCACAGGTAAGTCAGTTAACTTGTAGCACCCCCCAAAACACATTTAGTTCACAAGAGGGTCAAGATTTTGGAATTCAATTAAAAAAAGAAGAAAGTGACAGCTGTCTCCTCTTACCAAGGGGAACATCTGCAGACATGCTGAGCGTTACTGTAGGTGACAAAGGAGTTGCTTTGGTAAAGAAGTTCAAGTACCTCAAAGCAAAAGTCAGCTGGACTGCCTCATTCATCTCTATTGTAACCTAACAAAGATGTTAAGAAAGTTAAAACAAGTAGTACATCTCTTGGACAATCAAAGTTATTGGCTCTTAACAGCATTTCTGCCCTCTTACCCATTTGGATGGAGAAATTCTTGTGTTCCAGCTTTAAGCACAGCCTGGTACTAGCACAACTTCAGCTGAAGCAACTGTTCAACCCTAAGCTCTACATTTGCTTAAGTCAAGGATATTAGTTTTGCTGCAGATCAGCAACTTTTTCCTACCTCTATTCTTTCAAACCCCCTTTAGGATCAGGGTTCTGGAGTAAGAACATAGGAAAAAGCTGCATTTATATATTTGCTGTAATCATTTTAGCCACCTTAGTTCTCTAAACCCAGCAGAGACCCAATATATCCTTTATGATTGTACTTGGTATCTGTTTGCTGCCACACTGTACATTTCCTTTAAGAGGCCTTTGAGAGTCTTAAAGTCTCAACTTACAGCTTCTTCCTCTTTATCAACATTACTGGTCTGGGACAGTTTGATGTTTCCACTTCCTAGCTCTCCATTAGCTGAAAATTTTACACCATCTTTTGCACATGAGATAACAACTGCATCTCCAATATGGCTTAGATCTCTGCAGATGCGTGCAAATTCAGCTGAAGGCATTTTCACAACACAACTGTATTCTTGTTCCTGTAAGGGGGGGGAAAAAAAAAAAAAAAAAGAAAAACAAACAACCCACTGGTCTCAGATCATAGGCCCTCAAGGTTGAATTAAATAAGGTGTTACAACTTAAACTTTACACTGGAAGATTTTTACTCCTTATGAAAGAGGAGAACTGCTCAAGGGTTGTAGTCCCCATGTCCAAGCCAAATTTTCACTCATCTTACTTGAGGAAAAATGTAAGCCCGTTATTTAAACTCTTTTTGTTACAAGTGTCTTCTATACCTTTAATTTATATGCTTACATAACATCTTTTGAAAAAGACCTTAAGTCTGTTTATAAAGACTAGACTGATGAACTGCATTATGGCAAATATGAATACCAAGCTTTACTTAAGTACTTCCAGACAGCACTAGGGAGCCTACTCCCTTTTGAACTACCTCAAAACTATAAATACCACTTGTTGGTTATGCCCACTCAAGGTAAAGCTCAAAGGGGTCAACTAGTGCACCTCTCTTTGCAAGAGAGATGCTTAAAGAGGTAGGTTATAAAAATGCACTGTCCTCCTGATCATGTATTTGAGAACTGAAGATCCAAGTCAACCACTATCCACAGGTGATCATCATTTCAAAATTCTAGGCTTTTTCTAATGCTTCCCGTGGGCCATCTTAAAACTATCCCACTGAGGTGGGGAATTGGGAACACAGAATATTTTAGAAGCCTTCAACATTAACATTTTACTCTCTTACGAGAATTAGCAATTTAATTTAGCTCAGACAAAATGAAATGGCTTACTGGGATGCCAAGCTGTTCCACATCCAAATCCATTAGTTTCATCTCATAATCAGAGACCTTTTCTTGATCTAGGAGAAAAACATCAAGATACATGCATGTGTGTTTGGTGAAGCAAAGTTAAACCTGTGTTTTGCAGTTAGATCCTCTCAAACTTTTACACAGAAAAAGAGAGAGTGATATTCATAGATTGTAAAGAGACCTTGGAAGATCATTGGGTCCAGCCCCATGCACCAAGCAGGAAAGATAACTGAGGGTCAGGTGACCCCAGCAAGGTGACTGTCTAGTCTCCTCTTGAACATTTCCAGGGTAGGCAATTGCACCATCTCTGGAAGGAGCTTATTCCAGCCTGGACACCCCAAAATGAAGTTTTTCCTAATGTTAATCCTGGAAGATTGATTCAGGCTCCCTTCTGTGGCCATTACTCCTAGTTTTCCCCTTGGCTGCCCTATCAAATAGTTGTTATGAGAGCGAGCCACCCCCCCAAAAGTCACAGGACAAGACATATCTTGGCGCAACTGTGTAAGTATCGATAAAAGCTTCTAGTCATTTAGGTGATCATTTAACTGTACTCACCTAAATCATACAAAGCTTTTGAACTAGGCACTACCATAATCCAGATAAGTGCTTCTCGCACACCCCTCTTTAGACTCAAGGCCCTTCTCCATTACTTTGGGTGCCAGTTTATTTTGGACAATTTCAAAGGCTCAGCTGTATATTAGTGTTCAGCTGCTTTCAGTAGAACCAAATCAGTGAAGATGAAGAACCAGCCAGACAGGGACAAGCTGGAGCCTCCAATTATCTAATTATATCTGCACACCTCCAAGAGATCTGGCAGCACTTCAAGGCACTGTGGGACCCTGGTTGAGGGTCAATGATTTAAGTGTTCACTTCCAGCCTCATCTGCCCATTAACTTAGTAAGAGGCACTCAATTAGTCCCCAAGTAATGCTGCAAGTTCAAACTGACACTTTTTTGAAGGGTTATTTTTTATTTTTATGCACATGTAAGCTTTTGACCCAAGTGTTTCCTACCTTTGCCGAGGCCAGCATTTCATAGGGTGATCTCTTATTAGATAAAATGGCACAAGATAGAGCTAGACAAGCTTTTGGAAGTAAGACATTCGTCAGGCCTTCTGCATTCTCCATCCCAGCTGTACAGTTGGTTCAAGAGAAAAAAGAGATCACCCTACAAAAATCTCTGCCTATCACCTCATTCGCAGACCCCTACAGCTCCAACATGGCTCGAGTCCTCACGGGTACAGTGCCTCATCTGACTTCTTCACTGCCTGTGTGACCAGACTCTGGAATAGACTCCCAACAGGGGTGGTGCAGACACTTACCCTAGAGATCTTCACATAAGTTTAGGGTTGGAAGGGACCTCATGAGATCACATGGGGAAAAAAAAAGCAGCTGGATGCACACCCTGCAGCAGTCGCTTGAACCCAGCAGTCTTTCCTATCCCGGGACTGGACCCGATGATCTCACAAGGTCTCTTCCAATCCTATGTTTCTGTGAGGCACAGATACTTACTTGGGGCCTCGAACACCAGGGCCAGGGTGTCTGCATTGTCTTCTGCCCGCAGCGTGATGATGTCTTCGTTGCCAGCGCATTTCAGGATTTTGGACATGCTGCAGCAAGGGGGAGACTAGTTAGACCAGCCCAGACAAGGCAAGGCATCCTGACCCACCACGTCCCCTACCCCATCCCCCGAACTCGCAAGCTGTCTCCAGGCCAGAGGAGCAAGTACTGTAGGGGTCACATCCACCCTCCCCCTTCCCAGCCGGCAGAGCTGCCCAAGCCCCTCCCCCCGTGG